AGGCTGCAGACTGGGAAGCTGGAAGTATTTAACCCCAAGACAGTTTCTCTCTCACTCACAAGCTGCATATGTCAGCATGTCAAGTTCCCAACCTTCCAGCTCCCAGCACACTCTACCTGCACTGAAATATCCAGCAGGGTGCAGATGAGGAACCTAGAGGTATCTAACCCCAAGAGAGTTGCTTTCTCACTCTCACTCTCAAGGCTGTGCCTGGCAGGCTCCCCACACTCCCAGCTCACTGCCATGCCCAGCAGGCTGCAGATTAAGAACCTATCAGTATCTAACACCCAGAGAGTTTCACTCACAGGCTGTACCTGGCAGATTCCCCATACTCCCAGCTCACTGTACCTGCACTGCAACGTCCTGCAGGCTGCAGATGATGAACCCAGCAGTACCTAACCCCAGGAAAGTTCCTCTCTCTCACTCACAGGCTGTGCCTGGCAGGTTCCCCACACTCTCAGCTCCCCTGTACCTGCACTGCCATGCCCATGCAGATGATGAACCCAGCAGTATCCAACCCCAAGAGAGTTTCTCTCGCTCCCAGGCTGGTCCCACCCTCCCAGCTCCCTGTACCTGCACTGCCATGTCCAGCAGGCTGCAGATTGGGAACCCAGCAGTATCTAAACCCAAGAGAGTTTCCCTCTCACTCACAGGGTGTGCCTGGCAGGCTCCCCACACTCCCAGCACTGAAATGTCCAGCAGGCTGCAGAATGTGAACCTAGCAGTGTCTAGAAACCCCAGGAGGATTTCTCTCTCTCTCTCTCTCAACTCACAGGCTGTACCTGGCAGGCTCCCCACCCTCCCAGCTCCCTGTACCTGCACTGCAATGTCCTGCAGGCTGCAGATTGGGAACCCAGCAGTATCCAACCCCAAGAGAGTTTCTCTCTCACTCACAGGCTGTGCCTGGCAGGCTCCCCACACTCTCAGCTCCCCTGTACCTGCACTGCCATGTCCAGCAGGCTGCAGATGATGAACCCAGCAGCATCCAACCCCAAGAGAGTTTCTCTCACTCCCAGGCTGGTCCCACCCTCCCAGCTCACTGTACCTGCACTGAAATGCCCAGCAGGCTGCAGATTAGGAATCTAGAAGTATCTAACCCCAAGAGAGTTTACCTCTCACTCACAGGCTGTGCCTGGCAGGTTCCCCACACTCCCAGCACTGAAATGCCCAGCAGGCTGCAGATTGGGAACCCAGCAGTGTCTAACCCCAGGAAAGTTCCTCTCTCTCACTCACAGGCTGTGCCTGGCAGGTTCCCCACACTCCCAGCTCCCTGTACCTGCACTGCAACGTCCTGCAGGCTGCAGATGATGAACCCAGCAGTATCCAACCCCAAGAGAGTTTCTCTCACTCCCAGGCTGGTCCCACCCTCCCAGCTCCCTGTACCTGCACTGAAATGTCCTGCAGGCTGCAGATTGGGAACCCAGCAGTATCTAACCCCAAGACAGTTTCTCTCTCACTCAGAGGCTGAGCCTGGCAGGCTCCCCACACTCCCAGCACTGAAATGTCCAACAGGCTGCAGAATGGGAACCCAGCAGTACCTAACCCCAAGAGGGTTTCTCTCACTCCCAGGCTGGTCCCACCCTCCCAGCTCCCTGTTACCTGCACTGCCATGCCCAGCAGGCTGCAGATGATGAGCCCAGCAGCATCCAACCCCCAGAGAGTTTCACTCACAGGCTGTACCTGGCAGGTTCCCCACACTCCCAGCTCACTGCCATGCCCAGCAGGCTGCAGATGATGAACCCAGCAGCATCCAACCCCCAGAGAGTTTCTCTCTCCCAGCCCCTGTACCTGCACTGGTAGCGCACCCCGACAATGCGAGCGTGGCAGCTGCAGCAGGACATGAGCCAGTCACACTGCCTGCTGCTGCTGCTGCTGCTGCTGCTGCCCAAGGGGCTCTCTGCAGGTGCAGCTGCTGCTGGGAAGGAGCTCTCACAAAATTCTGCAGGCTGACTGCAATGGACAAGCTTCTCATACAGCTTCTGCTCCAGCCTCTCCACAGTCTCCTTAACCACTTGCTCCCTGAACTGGAAAGAAATTAAAGTGAAGTGGTGAATCAGAGCCACCTTTAAAGTTTGAAATGCTGAGTTACATTGTCCCAAGTCTCCCAATCTGTCAGTAGCCATTGACGACTTCAGAATCATTTCCCCTACCCCCAGCACACTCTTCCTAAAATTATTTTAATATATAAAATAATATATATAATATATTATATTAATATATATTATATTATATTATATTATATATTATTATGTATTATATTAATATATAATGTATTATACAATATATTATTATATTAATATATATTATATTAATATATAATAATATATAACATATATATGATCATATCATTATATCATATTATATAGATCACAAAATATATTACCATAGTATCATGTATATGATACATAATATAGATAATACATAAAATATATCAACAAATACCAGGTTCCTCAGAGAGAACTTTTATTTTAGAAAATACCAATCCAGAGCTTTTAAGAAGGCAAATTAAGAATCACATATTTCTGCTTACAATATTGTTTTTCTTCCATAAGCTTGCATGAAGGGAAGGAAACTCATCTCCAAAACTGGGCAATCAAGAGCCTGCAACAGCAATACTCCCCATGCTCTTCCACAATGTGTGGTCTGGAATTCCCATGTGCCACAAGGATTCTGTTTGTTATGGCAGCTACTTAAAACTACACTCAAACTCAATCAAATGCATTAACAAAACATTCCACTTTCCACAAGTGGTATGGATCAAGTTTTTGGTTTTGGGGTTTTTTTAAAGTATTCCTTGCAGGCAGAGTTAAACATTTAGTTCTCATTAAGATCCTGGTCACAAGTGCTGATGGCAAGAGTGCTCAGATGTCTAGAGATATCACAAAGATCACTTCCAACAACAATAACATTTAAGTGTTTGAGTATATAAAAACTTGCAAGACAATACACTTACTGTTTCCAAGTAGCTAGTAAACCATTCTGGAGGATTTTCATTTGTGCTTTCTGGTCTGGTCTGATTCAACTTTTGCTGGGGGAAAAAAAAGGCAAATCAAACAAAAAATATGCAAAGTTAAAAAAAAAAAACCCAACATAGCAAGTTAACTGCTGAAACAGCTTTTAAGTGTCTTTATAGAAAAGTATTTAAGTAGGCACTGACATTTTCCTGAAACATTTCTGCCTCATTAGCATTTGAGTGTAATTACACACCAAAGAAATCAAGTCAGGCAGAAGTTACCAGATGGCAATGAGGGCTTCAGGAGATGAACTGCTCTGTTCATCAGAATATTTAAGAATGGTCAACATGAAAGCACTGGCATTTCAAATTATCCTCTTGAAGTTATTCAAACTATTTGGTGAGCTTCAACAGGTGCAGGGAACTGAAAACAGAGCCCAACTTCTGAACTCAGTTTTTATACATGGCTGAAGAGGACAATCAGTCTATAAAGTGAATTATATTTATTAATTCTTTGTTTGAATGCAGCTCAGCTTCTCACCTGCATGGTCAGGTCCTTGTCTTTTTTAAATTCTTCCTCTAAGCCCTGAGCTAGCATGGAATGATGCAAAAGTGGCTTCTTCTCATCTTTAAGAAGCACCAGCTTTTCTGTCACATTGTTTTCATGGAGTTGCAAAGCATGAGAAGGGTTCTTTTCATAGGCATTCATCTGAAGCTGATTTCCTTGTTTTACTGCAATCTAAATAAACACAACACACATACACCATGTTTTCCACTTAAAATCAGCATAGGGAACCTGTAAAAATTCAGTATTGCACTGCATTGGAGAGTTTGGCAAAAGAGTGGGGAACAACTAACAGACAAAAAGAAAAACAGAGATGCCAAGGTAGATCAGCTGACATTCTATTTCTGAAGGGTTATTAATATATTATTTAAAAGTTTATTAAAAGCCAAAGGATAATCATGCAAATATCCTACTGGAATTTTTCAGCCTACAATGAAGTGTTCTTAGGAGCCAGTAAGCAACAGATTCTGTCCAGGAATTTATTTTGAAATTATCAGATTTGAAATTCAAACCTTGAGTAAAAAGTTGTGAAAGACTTAATAATGCAAAACAGAAATTTAAACAAATGCAATTCTTATTTTGCCCAACTGCTTCTAAAGTAGCTAAGCACTGACTCTAACAAGTTTTAACGATGTACTCTGCAGAATCTATGTGGTAATATTTTTGAAGGGTTTCACCAAAGCCCAATATTTCCAAATATGGGATTACTTTTGAAGGGTTTGAGAAAATCAATCCCTTCACCAACCCACTGCTGCTCAGGGTCCTGAATCCCAACTCCTATTCAACTGACTTATAAAAACAAAGACCAACCAGGATAGAAAAAAAAAAGTAATAAGACATTCAAGCTACTGTTCAAAGCTAGAAAACAGCTTTGAAAAACTATTCTGATTTCCTGGGCCAGGTAATGCCATTTTTTTTCCTCAGCTACACCAGTTTTAATTACAGAAGGATGAATATATTGAAAAAAGTCAAAGAGCACATTTACCTTCAGAGCTTCTTCATATTCCTCTAAAGAAAAATAGAAAGAAGTGTGAATGGCCCCTCTCTCACACAACAGATGGAAGTTTATCACACACTATTTAGAAACCTTTACAGGACAAGAGGCCTCCCCTACCTTCTGTAAGTTCTCTTAAATTAAAAGCCTAATTAAATTAGTGCAAGAAATTGTATATACAGCAACAAGCACACAATTTCACAGTGAACAACCACAACATTCCACTCATTTAGTAATTTTCAATTTGTTCCTGTGGATCAAGAATTCTTTCCTTTGGGAAGAATTTGATGCTAAATTATATATAAAATAAAAAAACGCAAAAGCAATCATTCTTAAGTGCATCTTCAAAATAAACAGGGAATAGTTGGGGTCTCTTGATTTCACCTCAGCAAAGCAGCAGCTCACCTTTGCTGTTCACAGAGACCTGCAAAGAGAAGGAACAGTGAGAAACATTTTTGCAGCTCTCTTAAAATTACCACCCTTCAGAATAAACATGCTTTTATTCTGTTCCTAAAGCAGCAGTCCTTTAGCTGTTTGTCACTGCCATGTTTAATCATTACCCCAAGCTGGGGTGCCCTGGAGCAGCCCATGTTTGTTACTGCCCTGGCACAGGAGGCAGCTCTGGCACCACAACAAGCTGCTCCCCTCCAAATCACTGCCTGTACCCCTGTGCTTACTGCACCACTTGAAATGCCCACTTAAGGGTTTCAAAAGATCAATTAAGTGTTTCATAAGCCCATTCTTCTCCAGAAAATTAATTATCAATGCTGCACATAGAAGTCACTAACACAGGAAGCTGTTTAATCCTCACAGCATCACAGGATTCTGAACAATGTCTGCTCAGTATTTCAAAAAAAAGCTTTCGTAGATTCATCTATATATTTATAGATTATACAGGCTGGAAAATAAGGGGAGAATCATTCTCTGAAAGGTTGTTAGAAGCTTCTTGACATTTCCCCTTAGGGAAAAATAACAAGAACAAGAACCCCCATGTCATTTAGCAGAGCTATAATCCAAGCAGTGGAACACTGTGTTTGCAAAAGGTCATTCTGTGTGAGAGTTACATTCCCCTCTGAATCTCTAGATAAACAAAAATAATATGAGAGGGTGAGACTGTGCCAGGCAGGAAGTTACTCAACAAGGACAACTAGAAGTAACCAATTTGTTTTCTGAGTCAGTAATCTGCTTGGAGATTACAGCAATTGCATAAAGCAGGCAGAGGATTTGAGTACAGCAGATCACTGAGGCAAACCTGGCCTAATGACAGGGACCTGCATTTTCCAGAGGAAGGAGTCTGGAGTGAAAAGACAGAGCTTTACCACAGCTGCAAACACCAATAGTTACAACCACCTGCCACAGACATATTTTCTGAAAATCCTTTTGTTAGGATCTTTTCTCCTGAGAAGCTTCAGCTTCTCCATGTTTTGTTGCTCTGGAGAATTGTTCACCTATCATGTGAAATTGTTTTTACTTGGTGACCAATGACAGCCACCTGTGTCAAGGCTGTGAGCAGTCACAAGATTTTATTATCATTCCTTTCCTTGCTAGCCTTCTAATGAAANCACCTTGCCAGGCACTGCCAGGTGCCAGCCCTTACCTGACTTGCTCCAGAGTGGCAGGCAGGCGTGGGGAGAGCTCTGCCAGGCTGTAACTGTCGGCCACACCGGGGATGGGCCTGCGCAGCTTTAACAAGACGTGGTTCGGATCGTGTGCGTACGCTCCTGCCTCACACTCCTCACAGATATTGTAGGCTGGACAAAGGCTGCAAAGCAGAAAAGATAAAGTTATCAAGAGGAAAAGAATTTCTGAAGAGAAGCTTTCACTGTAAGCAGTTCCCAAGTGAGCAGCTGGATGTCTCACTTTTAGATCAGTATTTGGAGCCACGATATCTACATGATTATCTCTCTTCTTGGCAAAACTGCAACACAGTTCCCACTTCTCTGAACCCATATTGAAGCACCACATGTGGTGCTTCCTTTAGCACAAGTGATTAAAATTTTTGCTACAAAGGGCAGAACATTTTATCAAAACCCAATGCCAGAAACAGCAGCATACTCATGAAAATACAGAGGCTAAGTCAACAAGCATTCAGGGATGCAAAGCAGATTGCTCCTCCAGGAACGGGGCTGATAAAAACCAGACTGTCATCTCCTGCCAGCAAGGAAAAAAAATACAAAGAAAAACTCCTGCTGGCATTTCATCTACTGCTTCTGCCTAGTCCCAAAATGCTGATCTTTACAGCAGTTGCCTCATTCAAATAAAACTCTCATTTTTAACATCTCACTTAAGACATTCATCAAAATCTACTTCATATTATTAGACAGACAAGAGTGCAGTCATTAAGTATGACTTCCCTTAGTCTTGCTGACTCAGAACCAAACAAACTGTTACAGACTAGTGGTTCTAAGTCCTGGTTTCTTGTTTAGTTAACCAAACAAAACCTTTTCTGTTACAATTATTGTACCTTATTACTGCAGATAAGGTAAAGAGTGATTGAGAACACAGCAATGAAGTTCTCTGAACTGTGTTCATTCAGAACACAGCATTATAAAGTTCTCTCACTTTAACAATCACCTTTTCTCAAAATAGTATTAATCTTGCTTTTATGCAGATAAAATCCAGTGACCACAGGAGAGAACATCAGATGTTGGTGAAACACAGAAGACATTCTGAAACGTCTTCAGCTGCAAATTAGGAACCTAGAACTATCTAACCCCAAGAGAGTTTCTCTCTCACTCTCAAACCATGCCTGGCAGGTTCCCCATACTCCCAGATCACTGCAATGTCCAGCAGGCTGCAGACTGGGAACCCAGCAGTATCTAACCCCAAGGGGGTTTCACTCACAAGCTGTGCCTGGCACATTCCCCACACTCCCAGCTCACTGTACCAGCACTGAAATGCCCAGCAGGCTGCAGATTTGGAACCTAGGAGTATTTAACCCCAAGACAGTTTCACTCCACAGGCTGTGCCTGGCAGGTTCCTCTCCCTCCCTACACTGAAATGTCCAGCAGGCTGCAGACTGGGAAGCTGGAAGTATTTAACCCCAAGACAGTTTCACTCCACAGGCTGTGCCTGGCAGGTTCCTCTCCCTCCCTGCACTGAAATGTCCAGCAGGCTGCAGACTGGGAACCCAGCAGTATCTAACCCCAAGAGAGTTTCACTCACAGGCTGTACCTGGCAGGCTCCCCACACTCTCAGCACTGAAATGTCCAGCAGGCTGCAGATTGGGAACCCAGCAGTATCTAACCCCAGGAAAGTTCCTCTCTCTCACTCACAGGCTGTGCCTGGCAGGTTCCCCACACTCCCAGCTCCCTGTACCTGCACTGCAATGTCCTGCAGGCTGCAGATTGGGAACCCAGCAGTATCTAACCCCAGGAAAGTTCCTCTCTCTCACTCACAGGCTGTGCCTGGCAGGTTCCCCACACTCCCAGCTCCCTGTACCTGCACTGCAACGTCCTGCAGGCTGCAGATGATGAACCCAGCAGTACCTAACCCCAGGAAAGTTCCTCTCTCTCACTCACAGGCTGTGCCTGGCAGGCTCCCCACACTCCCAGCACTGAAATGCCCAGCAGGCTGCAGACTGGGAATCCAGCAGTGTCTAGAAACCCCAGGAGGATTTCTCTCTCTCTCTCTCAACTCACAGGCTGTACCTGGCAGGCTCCCCACAATCCCAGCTCCCTGTTACCTGCACTGCAATGTCCTGCAGGCTGCAGACTGGGAATCCAGCAGTACCTAACCCCAAGAGAGTTTCTCACTCACTCACAAACTGTGCATGTCAGCATGTCAGGTTCCCACCTTCCCAGCTCACTGTACCTGCACTGAAACGTCCAGCAGGCTGCAGATTAGGAATCTAGAAGTATCTAACCCCAAGACAGTTTCTCTCTCACTCACAGGCTGTGCCTGGCAGGCTCCCCACACTCCCAGCTCCCTGTACCTGCACTGCAATGTCCTGCAGGCTGCAGATTGGGAACCCAGCAGTACCTAACCCCAGGAAAGTTCCTCTCTCCCACTCACAGGCTGTACCTGGCAGGCTCCCCACACTCCCAGCACTGAAATGTCCAGCAGGCTGCAGACTGGGAAGCTAGAATTATCTAACCCCAAGAGAGTTTCTCTCTCACTCACAAGCTGTGCATGTCAGCATGTCAAGTTCCCACCCTTCCAGCTCCCAGCACATTCTACCTGCACTGAAATGCCCAGCAGGGTACAGATTAGGAACCTAGAGGTATCTAACCCCAAGAGAGTTGCTTTCTCACTCTCACACTCAGGCTGTGCCTGGCAGGTTCCCCACACTCCCAGCTCCCAGCACTGAAATGCCCAGCAGGCTGCAGATTGGGAACCCAGCAGTGTCTAGAAACCCCAGGAGGATTTCTCTCTCTCTCTCAACTCACAGGCTGTACCTGGCAGGTTCCCCACACTCCCAGCTCACTGCCATGCCCAGCAGGCTGCAGATTAAGAACCTATCAGTATCTAACCCCCAGAGAGTTTCACTCACAGGCTGTACCTGGCAGGCTCCCCACACTCTCAGCACTGAAATGTCCAGCAGGCTGCAGAT